CAAGTGGACACATATTTTCAAACAGGTTGGGGACCTATAATGCAATACTAACAGAAGCTGAAAGTTTCCAGTATTTTCTTTTTTCTGCTATGAAATGGTTGAACACCTGTTTAATGTTCCCACAGGCAGTAATTAGGAACCAATGATGCTGCTTTTGGTTAACATTTCATTTCCTGCTACAGCAGCACATTGCTATTAAAAATGACCTTCTAGTTGCAGAGGATGTGATATTTATTAATTAACAAAACAAGAAAAAGATACCAGGTCCCTTTGAACATTTACTTTTTTAAAATGAGAACATACTCATAAAGAGGACAGGCTTGCTAAAAAAAAATCTCTTTATATTCATCAGAGGTTCGCTTCACATCTGGTCTTCACTGTTCCGTAGCGCTACTAATTATGATTTGTTCATTAAGAAACGAAAGTGCTGTCATTACCTGTTTGGAAGAAGTGGAAACTTCTGGATCAATTACCTTCTCTGGATTTTAATCAAGAGGTGATCTGGGTGGAGCCATCGGGACAAGAGAAATAATAGCTTGGAAAAGTAGTACTCAAACCAGCTGATTTGATTTTCCCCAGCAAGTGATTTATTGCCAGAGACATGGGTGTGTCAACAGCACTAAGCAGAATGAGATCAAAGTCAGCATTAAAAACCTTAATAAACTGTCAATGGCCACAGCCTGTTTTGGGCAGCGATGCACAAAGTCTCATGTGCTTTGTGCCAGCACCCCTGTCTTCATCACCTGGCTGTGCCCAGCACCCCCAGGCTCTTGCTCTCCAGCCTGTCCCTTCACCTGGAGAGAGACAGTGGAAGCGGCAGCTCAAGGCCTTGTCCATGCACTGCTGACCACCGCCCTACGTGTTGGGTTTGGCACATGTGCCTCCCTTTGCCATCAGTGCTTTGGAGAACCAGCAAAATCCGACTGACTGTCAACCACCCCGTAGGGAGATGCAGTGAGAAGAGCATCAGCAGCAGTGTCCTTTCCTGGTAGCAAAAGGTCAGGTGGGCTTAGAAGTGGACTAGCTGTCTACAATTAAATGTCTGCATGTTATAGGCCTTTTGATTATTTTTGATATTTGCCTCTTCACAATTTGCATTTTTGTGGAACAAGCAAACAATGCTTGGTTTGGAAAACACTTTATTTAGCAGGCACTGCTGCTGCCAGCTCTCAAAGTCACATTTAATACCCATGACAAGGACAGACAAGGATCCAAGTACAGAAGGATCCACACTGCTAATGCAGTTAAACTCTGCGGCTTGAGAATGAAGATCCAGTCTAGAAGCACTCGGATGGCCTGCGTTACCAGCTGAAGTGCATCCCTAAGGATGCACTAGAGAGAGAGATCTGTGGGAGTTGCAGTGTATCAGTGTACTCAGAAGATGGTCACATGTAAGCAGCACGAGGCATGGGTCATTTGGCCCTTATTAACTACACTAATGGCCTGCAAACACCTGGGGTGGCATCTTCAGAAGCTGATGGACCAGATCATGCAGACCTGCTGACTGATGCTGCTCAGCTTCTGTAAGGGTGTGAGCACAGGGAGGAGGAACGTCCTGAAGCGTGCTGCACCCAGGCTGCAGGGATACTTGGCCTCAACTTGCTAGCTCCCACCAGAAGAGTTGACTGGTTGCAGCAGATATCTTTCTGACATACTTTCACAGTCATCTATCTCAGTTATTAGGAAGGAACTATATTTCACCACCCACTGCTTATAAAGCAACTGCTCCATGTTGTATTTTATGGTTCTCAGAACTCTTAGCTTCCCTTTGCTGTTTTACATGTATGGCACAGCAGCATTTAGAAGTCTCCAGCATAATTTACAATCAAAACAAAGAAGGTGGGTGGAAAAAGAGACTAATTAATTTGCCCCAAATTATGGAATAATGCAGAGGGAGTGCCAGTAAAGAAAATGCAAATCTCTGACTTTCATCTACTTGACTGCTGCCTCCTGTGGAAGTCACTTTAAGTCACAGATAGTAATCAATCAAAGCCTTCCTTAGCGCAAACAGGACTCCAAGCAGGGACCTTAATGCGCTGGTGTGTTTCTGACAGAGCAGAGAGCTGCCAGACCAACCGCTCAAGGCACTTTTATCTCCCTATCTGCCTAACACGGCTATGCCTTTTTGATTATGCCATCTGGCCCCCTCTCTCCTATTTTCTGTATTTATTTCTGATTTGCAATACATGCTGCAACAGCACAGGGAGCTTAATTCTGTAAAAGTGTTCAGCTGTGATCTTTTTCTAAATATACAGAAATGAAGTTTGTAAAACAGATAGAAAAAAACACTGGAATCATCAAGATTATGATAATTATGCAAGGAAAGATCAATACTAATCCAGTCTAAAACCACTAATTCTCAAACCTTCAGAACTTCTAGTATCCACATCCAACAGTTTATCATTTTGCAAGCAGCACTGTTACTCTATGCTGACATTTACCCTAAAGATACACTATGTCAACTGAAAAATGTTATATGAAATTTGCCAGTTTCAGCTTGCATCACTGTCATGAAACCAGACATGAAGTGCAGTTTGCAGAGTGTGACAATCCCTGAAAACCTTAGAAATCAAAACTAGTCCTGTTCCAAAATGTTTGCGAGAGTCTCAGAGCTGAATAAGGAAGTTTTGGGGTTTTCATTTAATTTACTGAGAACAGAGTAGTTCTACTTCTTTGGAAAGAGAAACTAGGGTCTTCAGCTAATCCTGAAGAGTTCATACGGAGGAGAATATAACATGGATTATTCATTTGTCATCTAAGGGTATTACGGAATATGAACCACTTGTTACTTTAAGCTTTCTTCATCATAGTGATATGAAGTTCCCATCTCCTGGGAGAAAATTTGAGCTCATGGTGGCCTCAGAAAGTGCGAGCTCAGTTCATTTTTCAGAAGGCAATGCAAACTCTGCCTGTGCTCCTGAACCTTAAAGTGTCTTCGCACAATCCTGCAAACAAAGACACTGTGTTGGTTGACATGAGAACTGCAAGGTACCTCTTCTACATCGCAGAGATGGACTACCCCATGCTCCAAGTACTCCTGAGGCTGGACTCATACTGAACTCAGCCCAAGTGGCCTAGCACTGTGGCTGCATTGTAGCTTCTCCCAAAACACACTGCTCGGGATCACATCTGTCACTAGGTAATATTCAAGGACAAGATCCTTAAAGGTGCAGGTCATTCAGAATAAGGTTATAAAAGAAAAAAGAAACAAAGTGCATTACTAAGTATGCCCCAGCAGTGAAGATTCTACTTTGCTGCTACAGCCCCCTGGCTGGCTCCTGAGGCTAGGTAAATTAGCTTTTGTAATTTACCCAAAATGTGGAATATCTTGGAAAGGTCTCATAATAATGATATTTTCATGTCTTTCTGTTAAACATAGCTACACTTTTTTTTTCCTCACAGCTATATAAACAGGACCTGTTCAATTTTTTTCTTGAAAATGCTAACGCAGAAGGTTAAGTCTATTACAGAAAGGCTTTAAATATTTTTCAGAAATTGCAGGCGTTCACACGATATCTGAAATTACAGAAACAAATTGAAAGGTGTTTATTTAAAGGTCTACCTTTTGCCACATTACCTAAACTACACTTCATACACTTAAAATATCTAATAAATTATAGGGAGCAGCAGCAATAATCTCTCTCAAGAAAATTCCTTCAGCAAAGGATTATCATCTACACTATCATTAAATGCAATGTTTATAATTTTGCACTATTCTTTCAGATTTCATATTTCTGTTTCAACATTAAATACAAAATTAGTAGAGTATTTTGCCATTTTTCATTTAAGGTATTCCTTCAAAATGCTAATACCCTAATCATGAGGAAAACCAGAATGCAAATAATGAATTTTTATCTAAATCCCTTAAAATAGCTGAGCAAGTCCTCTCGTTAGTGTCTACTGAAGCCAATAATTTCTGATTTCCTGCAGTACTTAGTTTTGAAAATATATGTACAAAACCCATTATATTCTGACACTGGTTATGTTGCTACATTTGAATCAAGAGCACACATTGCAGCAAGGCTATAACTTGATATCAGGAGGCTGTGTGCATTGATCGTATTACTTCCTATTACTACGCAGATGTCAGAAACCATTTATGAACATATTCTCTGTAACAAAATTTAACAAACTAATCAGCCTGTAAATCACCTTTTTTTTTTTACTTAATTTTTAGAAAATGTGGTTGATTTTATTAACTCATCAGGGGCTAAACTTTATCAAATCATGACTGTAGTAATAATAACTGCACTTCTAATGTCAAAAAGGTGAAGTTTGAAATCCCTGCTGTCCCACGTGAATGATTGTACAGCATCAAAACACACTCAGACAGACTGGAGGAAACTTAGCCTAGAGCCCTGGTGATCCCAGCTACAATTTCAATGTAGAAAGTTTTTTGTTTATCCACAACTGACATTTTCAACTGCTTCTGACATGATAATTTCAAACCTCTCCTTGCTGTCATTGTCACCTACAGCCCAGATCTTTTCAGTTGGAGAGAACCAGTTAAGACAGTAAAATTGCACCACTACCTGACACGATTAGGGAATGTTTGGCTGCAATAACTTGTGGCTAAGAGAAAGAAGCAACTCTAAAGCATTTTATCACCCTCACTTTGTCAAACGGGAGTGCTGCAGAGAAGTCCTGCATGTAATTTCACAGTCATGCTTCTGATGGACTTGAGCGCTGACTGCTCTCTCCTCAGAGCAGTGTCCAATTCTACTTCCTAAGGAACAGTTATCATCACTAAATATGTTATCACCTTTATGTACACAAGGGTTTTAGTGCTTTGGTTTAAACCTTGTTCTTGTGTCCCATTTCCTTCCGTGAGCCAAAGTGAACAAGCAGAAGATACAAAAGTTGAGGTATATGCAGGGGAAGCACTTCCACACCTACAGCAGAGTATTTTCGTAGTTCATGTATCTCAGACTGCTATTCAAACAGGAACTTATTTCAACTTAAAAAATAACAGATGTAATGTGAATGAATAAATGCTTTACCTATATTCATCCTGTGTAAACCGTGGAATTACTGAAGGCTGCAGTACAGCAATTTCTACGGTAGTGGTGTTGAACTTCACAGGATCCCCATCATCATAGGCAATGACCACTAGCTATAAACAACACAGAAAATCACTCTCTTAGTACAGGCAAGAACATTTTTTATGTTGACTTGCAACAATACTTCTTGTATTTTCAGGGTCTAACAATTCAGATGAGATTTTCTTTCACTGCAAATCATACATTGTATAAGAACAAAATATAGAGGAAAAAGGTGACAGCCATCAAGTTGACAAGTTGAACCATCTGCTAGAAAACAGGAATTCAAATACAACTGTCTTCTACAAATACCTCTCCAAAACACATCACCAACTTCAAGTACATTTTTCAGGGGATTCTCTTCACATCTAACCACAGACTGTCCTTACTCAGAACTCCAGAATTAATTTCAACTTCTTTAATGGTATATAGTTCAATTCCATGCTTATGCATTTTTTACTGAAAAACCACCTATAGCTCCCAATAAAGCAAACAGAAAAAGTGCTAGGTAAGAATTCTGTGTTGCTGATATTACTGTCTAAAACCGAGGTCTGATATCAAAACAAAAAAAATAACATTACCTTCCCCACCCCCAAAAAATCCTCATAAGAAAAGACATGCTAAAACACGGACAAGACCAGAAGACCATCTCCACAGGCAGCCTGTTATAAATCTTGTGCTTCTCTGATCTTTACTGATGTCTATTTGTTTATTAGTCTGTGCTTGTCTGCTAGGACAAATAGGTTCACCTGTTTTCAGCTTTCATATGAAGGTAAGCTATCTGCTAGCAAAAGGATGAGAGACCAGCCCACTGGAGATGGAGTAATGGACAGTTTTCCAGTTTCCTCTCTATATTTGCCCTTATTTCAGGAGGTCACTAGACAGAGCAGGTCAGCACCTCATTCTAGAAAAGGGTTTTTAACTCTTTTCTCTGAGTTCAAGCTATTTTCAGAATATGTCTTTGAAGAGACAGCTTAAAAAAAAACGCGGCATTTTTTCAGCCAATGTATTAGGGTACTCACCAGTGCAAGATATCATAATTGCAGAAAGTATGAGTATGATAAAAATTTACTAGAAAAATTCACAGAATATTCAGCCCAATGGTCTAGATGCAAATACGGATTCAAAGTCTCCACATCAACGATTTCTGGGGTCTTTTTTGTGTTTCTTCCCTAAACATCCACATTTTCTGCAAAGTAATGCTCTGCTAAATTTACCATTGGTCTGCCCTAGTATAGAGCAGCCTTCACACAGAAACATAGCTCCATATCCATGCGCATGTCACCTGCGTGTTATGTGTCACAGCTTCAGAAAACAGCCACACAAAATAATTACTGAGAAGTCAAAAGTGCAACAACAGAAAAGCTACACTCTGGTGATGTTAACTGAGAGATAATTCTCTTCTTCTTTGAATTTTGTTACATTAGTTAGAAATTGAAAAGGACTCAAATTAGCACTGTCCTAAGTTCCTGAAACAGCACCAACATTATAATGCTACTGGAGCTCACGGTAGCGCTTGACAGGACTCTATGAAGTGGAAAACAATGGACAATTTTATTTCTTTATAATGCAAAAGTATGTAAATAAACATCTCCTTAATCCTCATTTCAGAAGCAGATAACTGAAAGAAGAAACAAAAAACACACCTTAATGACCATACAGAAGGTTGGAAGTTTCTAAGTAGGGAAATTACATATAAACCCTCATATATTATAGATACAGTTATTTTGCTTACTGATACACTTTAATTCTATTTTTCAGCTACCCCCTCCACTTATAGATTTAAGAATGGAGATCTTTCTCAATAATTTAGATTAAAATCATAACTTATTCCATGCTAACTACGCTTGAGACTCTTCAGGAACAATAACAACACAGTAGCAATTTAAGTCTCCTTAAAGCCAATGTTTTTTCACATGGCAGCACTTGTGAACAGCATGCCCCAAACTATCTAACTGCACAGCAACTGTTTTTACAAGATATCTTGTCATTCTTACAAAGTCCTCATAAAATTGCTGCGCTGGCAGCCCTGTTGAAAGAAAAGAGATCAGCAAGGTATCTTTCAAAAACTGAGGTTTGCTTTAGCTGCCTCCCTGTTTGTACTGCCCTCCTAACAGTAACAATCACATCCACCCAAGACCTGTCTGAAATCCAAAAGGCACAAAACATGTGCCAGGAAGAAATTAAGGAAGTAAAGAAAGAAATGAAACAAAAATTTCACGTCTTTGTATGAAATATAAAGTGAGGCAGAGAAACACGAAGGTAAACGAGTTCCATCAAACACAGGCAACACGTACCGACAGTATACAGCTATACGAGTTCATACCTTAAACACTGTACTTGGCTCTTCATTTAAGTTGACTCGGGTTACTACACGTCCTGAGTCTTCCTCAACATCAAAAATGCTGGCACTGTAAGGAAACTGGACAACATCTACTTTGTATCGGACTCGACTTGCTGGCGTGCCCTGTAAGGAAAAAAAACAGCAACTTGCATATTTTTGTTATTTTTACACATCTCATGAAGTTAATACAGGATTAAAATGCAACATTGATAAACAGAGCATCACAAACAAAACCTGCAGTTTGCCTTCCTCAAAACTGGGTTTGTTACTAAGCATCCCTCCTGCTTCCCCCCAAAATATCTTACTGTGACATCTGGAAAGGTGTAGCAAAGCAAATGGCCAGAGGTTTGGAAAGAAGAGAGCTAAAAAACCCGTCTACTTAAGTACAGACAGAAGCAGTGGTCTGTTTCATAACTACTGAAATTTTTAAACAACAGAAGATGGACATGGCTTAAGGTTGGTTACTATATTTTTCAACAATATTTTAACATATTATAAAAATTCCTTTGAAGTTCAGGAAATTTCTAAATACTCTAAAAACTCCCACACTTATTCAGCTTGTCCTGAAAGTTATAGTGTCTTGTTGCTGAAGATGGGAGTATGTGTGTTACATTATTTTCTGAAAAGTCAGACCATAGTTCTGCATACTAGCCAGTCCAGCCTACGTGACATTCACATGCTTCTCTTTTAGAGGAAACGAAATGAAAACAGCATTGGGTTGCCTGGGCAAATCCACCAGGCAGCCTAAATGGGCTGTTTTACATACAAATCAGCAGCATCTGAAGGTTTTACTTTTCACAAAAGCCGAGTGATAAAAGAGTAATACATTTTAAAATCCTCATCACTAAGAAGTAAAACACAGGGATCATAGGACCTGCAGCACTTCCATATGTATCCCAACGCTTGTTCTCTCTATGGCTGAACTGTACAGGTCTAGCAGTTTAGGCGCAACCATCTAAAAGCTCACATTCATGCCATCCTGAGAGAACAGGTGAGACTGGCCTGCTCCGCAGTGCTGCGATGGTCAGAGTATTGGCGTGAAGCGGCTGGACACCTGTGGCCCTCCCTGTTGTAACAGAGGGCTTCTGCCTCTCAGCAGGAGGCTGCGCATTACCAACGCCACTTACTAGCAGTTATCAGAGCTGTCTCTAAGCACAATGTCAGAAAACAAAAAGGAGAATGCATTTGTCGTATCAGTGGTAACACAAAATGCAGTTTTCCAGACAAATTTTAAGCAGGACTGTAATGAACCCTCCCACTGTTCAAAGCCTGCTTCAGTGACAAGGAACAAGTACAGATAGTCCATGCATGAGTCACAAACTGTCTGCATGCATATGCACCCAAGCCCACCAAATTAAAAGGGGAATAGGAAGAGGCTTTGCCAGAGGGTATAATAGATGAGTTTTGCAGATCAATAACTCAGCTTTTTCTAATAGAAAGTTATTTACCCAATTTAACTGTTATAACACTAACTGCCTAAATAAATAACATTTATTGTGAAGAATGAAGTTCCTTAAAGTATCCATTATATTCCAGTGATCCCATTCCAGCAGTCACACTCCAGGGACCTTCAGAGGGTGCGGAATAACACCATGCCTGTCAGCACAGACTGCGAGGCAGCTGCTCCCATGTCGGAGACAGGGGGCCCTGGCAGCTGACGCTGACCTGTGTGATGCTATCAAGTCCCAAAAAGCAAAATGGGTGGCTGTGCTTGTCCCTGGGATCCCCACCATCCTACTGCTCCCTGGCAGCACTCCAGGCCCTGCTGCAACAGCCGCCTTCTCAGGCGGGCCCTGAGGAGCTTCTCTGGTAGTGGCGGCAGGATGGTTCCTGGCACCCATCTAACTCAAAAGCAGCAGACACTTCTGGCAGGAATCACTCAACCTCTTTTGAGATGAGATGAATTGTACCATCGACTGGTTATGGAGGATGTCTGGGAGACAGTAAATTCTACCAGGTCACTTTCATTCTCAGCGAGCACCCCTTCACTAGTATTGATAGTAATCCACTGTTTTCAGAGTTTGAAGAGTAACATAAAATTACTAAAGCAGTGAACCCTGTATGAATATACACTATGTACTAAAGAACTGTGAGAAAAAGGGGGATCAAAGAATGGGTTTAAAGCAAAGAAACGGCTTTTTTGCACACTGATGTCTGAATAACTATTTTTCAGCAGACCAAAGTGTGTGTTACCTGGATATGTAGACACTTGGGACATTTCACAAAATTCAAACTAGTTTATTTGCTAAATATATTTGGAGGTAGATTCAGAGAAGCACTTAGACACTCAGGTCCTATCATTGACGTGATTTCAGTTTGCTAATGCCTTTGAGTCAAGACCTCAGAATAGTTTTTGACCTTTATATTGTATTTAAATAGACAAAATTTCAGAGCCCACACTTTTATTAATAGCGAATTGGTAATTTTCATCTGTATTCAATAATGTGGTGTAAAGCAGCTGTGTTGTTATTGAGAATATATCCAGTGTACCATGTCAGCTACTAACTACAGGGAAACAGGAAATTTACTTTTGTAAACAGCAATAGAAATAGCTGCAAAAGTGATTTAAGCTCACTAAATCATATCAACATTTGTTTGATACAACAGAAGTGCACTGAAATGCTCAGTCAAAATATATAGTCTAAACTAAAAGCTTTACTGGAATGGATTTAGCTCAGATACTTTACATCACTCTAATGCATGCTACAGAGCTGTGTAACATGCTGTCAGATTTTGCCACATTAACTTCTGATGAGCAGTAGGACTATCAATAAATAAACCATTCTTCAATGTGAGAAAAGTGACCCTTCAGCGAAGAATATTTATTTGAATTAAAAAATACAGGTGGGTTGTAAGAATTTAATTGGTGATATCAATTTTACGGTTGTTAAAAGAACTAGAATACTTCAGTCTAATACTAAAAAGTAAGACCGAGGACAAGGCAGCCAGGGCACTTCAGCCTTCCTCCCCATAAAACCCTGTGCACATGACACCTTGCACATAAAAAGAAGTGAGACAGGGCTGGGTGCAACCAAAACATGCACAGAATTTCTGGGGAGACTTGCACAGCTGCTCCTCCGGATGATTTTAACTGCAGCAGAGCTGAGGCCATTGACTCTTTGGGCCCTCCAAGGAAATCCAGTCCAGGAAGGATTTGTTAGCCAGTACACCGCTCCAGTGCTGCTGGCAAGCCAGCACGCTTAATAATTCAAGAACTGGGTCTGTCAGATGTGTTTTTGTGTTTAGTGAATCTATGGTGTTTAGTAATCTATGCAAGACCACATTAATACAGGACCATGCACACTAAAGTGTGCAAATCCTTGAAAACATGAGACATTTCAGAGATCATAGCACAACAGAGGTGATTATACAACTTTCCCCCTGGCATTCTCTGATTCAGTCATTTTTCTTCAACATTACAATTAAGAGGAAATTACCTACTGAAATCCACTCTATACGGTTTCAAATGGTCCTCACATTTGCTTGGAAGACTAAAAGCTATTATCATCATTAAACCTGCACACGCTAGGTAATTTGTTATTAAATAAACAAAAATCTCATCAGGTTATTGCTCCTGATAAGACTCTCAAGTACAGTTTTCTCCTGTAATTTCTGAAAATAACAAAACAGGGATTTATTTTTTGTTCACTGTATTTTGGCACCAGTGTAATTAGAAAACCTCCAGAGAGATTTTCCAGGGTAATCTGTTTAGAAGCAATTTTTAATTATCTCAAATATTAATCATCTTTTGCCTCTGTTCTAAATTAATTTAGATGCATTTCTATGTCTACAGCAAAACTCGAATATAGTAGAAAATATTCTCAAATAAACCATAGAGCAAGGATTCTACATGGCAGGAACCATGTTCATTCTCTCAAACCAAAGTTTTCCTGAGAGTTCAAGACTAATATGAAACTTAGATCATCCAGCTTCAGTTATTTCTTTTATTGATGCATAATTCCTTAAGTTTCCGTTTTCTCTGGGGAAATGACATTCATTTGTGACACAGCTGACAGGTAGGAAAATTTCCCCAAGATCGATGTTAGATGTTCAGGCTGCACACAGAGGCCCCGGAGGGGGCATGTGCACTGTGGAGATAGCACTCAACTAGGCACAGGTAGGTTGCAAAGAAACTAATGCAATAAAGCCAGGAAAAACAGTGACAAGTGTAACAACAATAATTTCTTCTGTATGTTTTCATGTATATTTCTGAAAGGAAGCTAGGAATCATTACTCCCACTATCCAAATGGGTAACAGAAGTACAAAACCAGAATGATCTGGCCCAGGAAAGAGCCAGAAAAAATGCATTTCACTTTCATTCACAGTCTTCTCATGAAGATCCCACATATGCATCTGTTAAATGACCTGGATTTTACCCCTAAGTACTGGTATGGAACAGTGATATAATGAATACAGTCTTATTTACCAAGTCCCTTTGTTCTCTATGCCACTTTCTGACTGCAGTCAGAAAACTTCTGATATTACAGGTAAAATGTGAAATTGGTAAGGAGTTTCATATATTTCCTCCATCTGTAGATTTCAACGCATATCTCAATGAACTGCATCATGCAGAGTTCAGTAAGGCAAATTTTGTAATGTTAATTCTATAAAATAAATTGGAAAGTGATGATAAACCCAAAATTTACAGGTGGCTATACATGTTCTTTGTAACATGCTCGAAGTAAAGTAACCAACAGAGGTGGGGCAGACCACAGAGTAGATCAATGATTTTGGTGGGTCTTAAGCCAGCTATGAATGGTGCAATCATGTATATTCAACCTATAACTCTAACTTAACTCAAACCTAAACTCTAAAATTTGAAGGATTTTATTCTTCAGTATGTAACTGGAGAGTTGGGTGCAGAGGAACCTGATAAATTCAACAAGGACAAGTGCAGTGTCCTGCACCTGGGGAGGAACAACCCCATGCACCAGTACAGGCTTGGGATGGACCTGCTGGAAAGCAGCTCTGTGGAGAGGCACCTGGGTGTCCTAGTGGACAACAGGTTAACCATGAGCCAGCAGTGTGCCCTGGCTGCCAAGAAGGCCAGTGGCATTCTG